CAAATGAGACTTTCTAAATAAAAAAAAATCTTATTATTGTATATAACTCTTTGATGGAATCAATCCTAAGATATGGAATAGTTGCATGGAGAGGTTGTTACGATAATTTCATAAACTCTGTAGAAAGACTTCAAAACAAAATGTTAAAATCATATTTAAAAAATTTAAGATTATTTTCCACTAATATGTAATATAATGAATCTAATTTGCCAAAAGTTCGTTTAATTTATGTTTATCCAGTGCACATATTGAGTACCTAAACAAAACAAAAACAATACTACAAAATGTATTTCCTATTTTTTTTTAAATAACCTTACGCAAAGGACTGCGTTTTATTTTGCACCAAAATTACATAAGATGTTACCTAAAGAAATAAGCCACCTAAGTTCTTTAAATTAGCTAGAAAAGTTTAAGGTAGAATCTAAGCGCTACGTAAGTTTATATCAAGAAGACTTTTTAAAAATAATATCCCAATAAAAATAAATATATATTTTTATTATTATCATGCATTTCTTGACTTTTTAACAATGTTTTTGTTTTGGTATTCTTGTGTTTCTGTTCCTCAGCGTTATATAGCAAGGTTTTTCTCTCCTTTCTGTCTGTTAAATAAATATTAAATAGGTATAGTTTATTATTGTTATTACAAATAGCTTTTTTATTCTTATTATGTTCATTATCAATGTAAAATTACATAAAGACAAATGTATCCTAAGATTGTGTAATCACACACAAGCACGGCTTAGGTGATACATAATTTTTTTTATGTAAATATAATGCTATTAATTAATCCCCAACATCTTGGACTAATCTTATTAATATATTATTTATATTTATAAATTCCCTATGTAATTTTTGTAGAATGGAAATAAAATAATTTGATTTGATTTGAATGGCTATGTCAAAAGCGTACGTCTTGAGACATCGTAAGATGCAGACGCGCAAGCGATCACATCTAAAGAGAAAGGAAGTAATAAAAGCCTATCAGTAACAATAAATTGGTCACTGTATAGTTAAGTTTGTTCGGCAATTTTTAGTGTATACAGTGCGCAATTAGAGCCCAGGGCCACTACCTGTGTAGGTAAATCAAGGTACCTGTCTCCCGATGTCTTACAAAATCAGTAGTGCAGTGCAATATAAATACAAATGTGAAGAATTTAAGAAATCAGTTACACTACCTGTACAGGTGAACTCAATGTATCAGTCTCCCGAAGGAACCAAAAAGAGGGTCAAGTGGACAGTAGCAACAAAAGATAAGTTCAATAGCTTTAATCCGCATGATTTAAGTAGCATTCTCTACTAAGAAAGTAATCTTGCATTTTCTCGAAGAGGTTAAGCGTCTTCAACGCATCTAAATCAGGAAAACATCAAAACAAGAAAAAGATAATTCCCATAGGACCGCAAACGTAATTATTCGTAATATTAATTGATACAAAACCAAAACTAAACATCCGTGATACGCAATAGACGTTAACATAAATAAAAAGTCTAGTGCAGTCACCTAGATCAACAATAAACATGCCAACACACTTTACTGAAATAAAGCTAAGGCTTTCGCACAGTGGGACAAAGAATTTGTATCTACTTACTTTCCTTTACAGATTATTTTCACATAATTCATTTTATCGATGGTTCTCGACCCTACAGTGTAGGGTCGAGACCAAAGAAAGGGTTTCGCACAGTGGGGCAAACAGTTGCGGAACTTTCAGCACAGTAATTTTCAGCAGACACGGACGCAAACGAACAGATAGTACCTCAAGACCATCAAGGATAAATCCAAGCAGCGAACTAACCACCCAAACCCCATTCATGAACCCCAATTGAATGGGGGGTATTACTAAATCCCTGGTTTAGAAGGATTCCGGATTGTACTTAGTTTTGGGTCAGTCCAATGTCCCCCAAAAAATGTTTTCCCTCCCTCCTAAGAGAGATTTACAAGCCGATGTGAAAATTCGGATCCACCAAACACAGGTATTGCTGTGCAGTTGCGGGATACGTATTAGAACTGAAACGATTACTACTTTAATCGACACAACTACTTAAGTAGATTTCTATATTTTGATACTTCTGGAATCGCCCAGTTTAGATCTTACTAGCGTCATTCTGGGGACTTATTGAACTACTATCCTACGCCTTCAGGTGGACACTTTTGCAACTGTTTTTCCCTTCTTCCCTTTACCCACCATAATTCTTATTAACTAAAAATTTTAGTTACAACTGAGAATTCATGATTCATATTTACTAAAAAAAAAAACAAAATAAAAAAACTAAAATTAATTAAAATAATCTTTTTTTTTTAATAAAAATCACAAACAGTATAAATGACACATCTTATAGTTTGTCTTAAAATTTAGCTACTATTGTCATTTCCAAAAAAAATTGTACTTATGGCCATTAAAAATATAAAACTGCATTAAAAATCGTCCATGTTATAAATTAAAATAAAATAAATTATTGTTTAAAGTTGTCAACATCTTGAAAGTATTGATACTCTTAATCTACAAGCCTCAAAATTAAATAAACGTGTCATTTTTTTAAACACAAAATAAAAACAAGCACTAATCATTGATTGGTCAAAAAGATTGGTCTTCACTTTGTCTAAAGTTTTTAGTTTTTGGTTTGTTTGTTGACTGCCGATAGATTCACATGCATTAGCGAATCTACTGGTTGACCCTTAGATGTAACTTGATAATTATAATTGATTGACTATTATAGAAATCAATAGAAATATATTATTTTCTTTTAAAATTGAAAACTGTTATTTAAGATATTCTGAATGTTTTATTTCTTTATAGCAAAAACGTCTAGGAAACTAAAAATAAAATCAATAAACAAATACAAAAAAGACCTAGGTCGATAGCCCTTTGGTTAAACCAATAAAGACATTTGTTTTTATATAAAAAACGAATGCTGTGATATGGTGGGCGCTCTTAGCAATAACACTGTGCAACACAAAAAATGAACTGGGATCAAATCTGAAAAAATCGAATCTAGGCAACCCCCAAAACAAATTCTTTAAGGGGTTTTACCAGTTTAGCTCGAATAATGAAGATATACATATATACATATACAGGGTGTTTCTTTTAACTTGAGACAGCTCAATATCTCGAGAAATACGCATTTCACGGAAAAATGTCTTAAATAAAAGTTTAATGTGACTAAAGGGGACATTATTTGGTGCTACCGCTAGCCACCCCCTACCCCTCCTTAAGGGTGAAACGGGGGGTAACTTTGGAAAGTCAAATGGAATGACCCGATTTTTTTCACAGAGTTTGGTAGTACATAAAAAAATAAATAACTTTTATTTAAAACTTTTTTCAATTTATCAACAGATGGCGCTGTAATTCAAAATTTAAGAAAAATGAGTTTCCTTGTAAAATGTATTATTTGAAACGTTTGAAAAACAAAAATTAACATTAACAACAATAGTCGGCTATGAAAACAATTTATAACAAATGTTCGAAATGTCGTCATTCCATTTCAACACATTTTTGAATGCGGGTAATGAATTCTGGCACACAACGCGCCAACATATCGGGCGGTATCGCCGCACAGGCGTTCCTGATCCGCTCCACCATGTCCTCCCAAGTTGTAGGAATTGCAGCGTAAACTTTTTCTTTCAAGTAACCCCACTGGAAGAAGTCTGGTGGCGTAAGATCAGGTGATCGAGCAGGCCAAATTACTGGACCACGTCTACCGATCCACCGCGGTGCACCGGCCATTGAACTCCCGATCCAACACCTCTCGAGCAATTGTCGAATGATGTGCAGGACAACCATCTTGCTGGTACCACATGTTTTGGAGCCGTGCTAGTGGTACATCCTCCAAAAGGTCCGTCAGATCGTTTTCTAGAAAATTCCGGTACTTTTCGCCATTTAATGCACCGTCAATAAAGAAGGGTCCGATTAATCGTTCGCTTAAGGTACCGCACCAAACGTATACCGACCAGGGACGCTGGTGCTCCACTTGGTGTCGAAATGGAAGGACGACATTTCGAACATTTGTTATAAATTGTTTTCAGAGCCGACTATTGTTGATTTAATGTTAATTTTTGTTTTTCAAACGTTTCAAATAATACATTTTACAAGGAAACCCCTTTTTCTTAAATTTTGAATTACAGCGCCATCTGTTGATAAATTGAAAAAAACTTTCAAATAAAAGTTATTCATTTTTTTATGTACTACCAAACTCTGTGAAAAAAATCGGGTCATTCCATTTGACTTTCCAAAGTTACCCCCCGTTTCACCCTTAAGGAGGGGTAGGGGGTGGCTAGCGGTAGCACCAAATAATGTCCCCTTTGGTCACAATAACCTTTTATATAAGATATTTTTCCGTGAAATGCGTATTTCTCGAGATATTGAGCTGTCTCAAGTTAAAAGAAACACCCTGTATATCTCCATTATTCGAGCTAAACTAGCAAAACCCCTTTAAAGATTAGTTTAGGGGGTTGCATAGATTCGATTTTTCCACATTTCATCCCAGTTCAAATTGTAAGGTCAAAATTTGTCGCACAGTGTAATTATTGCCATTAAAGCCACTAATAGTAATTAGTCTATGATGAAAAAATTACGAGTAGGGAAATCTCACATTTTGTACACTCAAACCGTGCCCGAAAAACCTTAATTTTTTAAAAATTTGATTATTTTTTTTGGGATTGTTAACATTTTTCTAGAGGGTTAATCAAATACTTAATCGACGCGGCTTTGTGAGTTTTTAAATTATACGTAAAATTCTGGAGCTATTGCATTTTGAATCTTTAATTGTTTTTGAGATATTTAATTTTTTCAAAAAGTTTTGACAGATGGAGTGTCTAATTAAAATGTTTGTGTTACCAACAATTGTAATGTTAAAAGTTTTTATTCTAGATTTCCATCTCAATAAATAAAAAAAAATTGAAAAAATTAAATATTTCAAAAACAGTTGAAGATAGGAAAACGTGGCGGATTCAATTTAGTTTGCCTGTGTACAGGCTTTTCTCTTTTCTAATTGTTTATTTTTTACAGTGTGCATTATCAGAATTGGAAACTTATAGCATCTGAGGCACTACTAGCGCAAAAACGAAACGTACAACCACAGGTTCATTTTTATAGGCAAGTTTCAACCGATAAAAAAGTGGTTTTGGGTAAGTTGCACCGATTTTACTCACTCTCGATAAGGGGATTAAATTTGATAACCTGCTTTATAAATAAAGAGTTCTCATTCGGTTATTTAATTCTACAAAGTATTTTCTGGTTGAAAATGTACTGCCTTATTTTAATTAGTGTAATCTTTGATATTGGCTACTTGATTTTATTTAGAGGTCCGGATTAGTGATTATTATTTTATTGAGTATTATCTTTAGAATAGGAATTATATATATATATATATATATATATATATATACAATTATGTTTTTTGTTTGTAGGATGGACAGAATGGAGAGGAATTTTCAACCTATTTCTTCCAGTTGGGTTGTGCCTTGTTGCCGTGATGCAATGGCGGCATTACCGGAAAAGTTCTGGCGAAACGATAGCAAAGCCATGGGAAGTTGATTGTTACTGTAAATTACCCTTAAGAACACTTTCAAGGTGCTGGGGATGGATTGCTGGTATGTGTATTTTTATTTTTTATAGTTATATATTTTTAAGTGAAAAAAAGACTTGCCATAAGCCCTTTAGTACTTGGTTGAAGACCCTTAATATAATTTAATTAAATTGCAGCCATCTGATATGATTAGTTAAACTATACCTTATTTATTAAAATAACAAATTATTGCACTCCCTAATATTGTTTAAAAACAAAAATTTGTTTATTTTAATATTTATCTAATTAAGTATTTACTTGTAATTAAAAAGCGATAATAATGGTTCAATAACATTTACAGTAAGTTTAATATTCTTGGTAATTTTTTACATTCGTTTATTTTTTTTAGAAAATATAAATTAATAAAACGTTAGTATTGCCCAATCACTTTAACTTTACATGATTAAGGGGACAAAATCTCACCAAATCTTATTTTAAGGGAGAGGGGGAGTGGTCCTTTAAAATCTCACGTCAACTTTTGAGTTTAAGGAATATGTATTTTAATCCAAATTTGATATAAAAATTAATCATTTTTTTTTACATTTTTGGGGTTTGTCAGAATCTGACGTGAGGGATAGGGGGTCTACCACATTTCAACAAATTATCAGAAAAATGCCTAACGTATTTAATGGATGTCCCCTAACCTATACATTTTGATATAATTAAATGTTTACGCCCCCTGATAATTTAGACAAGAACTTATATTGCACGTAACAATAACATTTATATTTATTTATTTCATAAAAATAAGATAAAACCACTATGCCCCCCTCTTAAACGTTACTTCACGCACCCCCAGTTTGGAAACCACTGGTTTATATAATCATTATTTGCCGTCAATGTACAACATTAACGTGCAAAATGTTTTCTGTATATAAAACTTACATAAACCTTTAATTATCCTTTTGTTAACGCTATATTTTTAAAATGACGCCCAGTGTAATTCCTATAGTTTTAATAGTGGGTTATACTGCATAAAAATATAATAATAATACCTAATGGTTGTTAAATTTAAATGAGTAAGTAGGTGCATTTTTAATTTTATACCGCCAAAGAATTTATTAGAAAGGTTTAATTGATAAGGTCAAAATTGGGGCAATTGCGAATAAAATAAATTTATAATGGAAAAGAAAACCTGGTTTTCTTTGTTATAGAGGGCAACCTAGTAGGTTGAACCTACCAAGAAAATCAAGTGAACTTATTTGTAAATATATATTTTAATTTTAAATAAGTATTTTCTATTTATTATTTAGTTTAAAGATTTTTTTTATTTATTTAAATATTATGGATTCTATGTATTACCTAACAAACAGTTTTTATCTCGACCGTCAAAAAATGTAAGGATAACAATTTCTGATTATCTAATAAATATATACCTACCATATTTTATCCACCATAATATATACATAATAATATAATAATAATAATAATGGGTCTTTATTTTTCAATTAGTACATACAAGATATTTATAATTAAACAAAAAAAAACAAAAATTAATAAATCCTAAATGTACATATCTAAAAGAAAAAATGCCGAATATCAGTATCGAGTACAAAAGTGTACTCTTACTGTACTTCACTTATAAGTTATCCATTAAAAATTATTTAAATAACCACCATAGAATCTTTAATAAGCCATATCAGAAACTTTAGCTTGCCACATTTGTACCTTTAATCTGCCATATTAGAACCTCTACCGCGCCATATCAAAAATGGAATGGTTCATGTGACTGCCGTTACATGCCAATTAAAGGTGAACGCGACCTAATATGTACAGTTTTATTAGAGTTAGCCTTTATATGGCCTTTAGTTCATTAAAGGCACGTTTATAAAGGGCCATTATAGAACCTTTACGGTTGTGTTACCTGGGAATTTCCACTCTATATTTTAATGAAATTTTATTTGGGTTATTTCCTGTTTTTGCACGCTAAATTAAATTTTCCAAAAAATTCAGATATTTTAATGGCATTGTAGTCCAGCATGTCTTACAAATTCTTAATGTTTTTTGCAGAAATCCTGTTCCTACTCCAGCAGAGATATTTCAAGATCTAATATGTGCCTTTCGCTGAGTTCCTTTTTCAAAACGTATAGCACATGTTTGGCACTTGAACATTTTTTTACCCAAGAAGTGCTGGTGAATTTAAACGGGGTGCCATCTTTTGCGCAGAAGATATCACTACTATGAGCCTGGTACCAGGGACTTGTCTCTGCCCGATACTATTTTGTACGCAATTGGCTATAGCACATAGACTTGATTTTTTAACATACAAAATTTCCAAATATTGGTACTTAAATTTCCACTCTTTTCTTTACAATTTTTCCTCGTTTTCATCGGTTGTTTATGTGTTGGGGTGTCTAGCGCGCTCGTCATTTTCAAGGTCTTTATAGCCATTTTCGAAACTCATATTTAATTCATAATCACTTAATTTACTCATAGTAGACTGATCAGTAAATAATATTTATAAAAAAAATGATGCTCAGTATTCTATACTTAAGTATCTGATCGTACCAAAACGCATGTACGGTATATCGTATTTTCAATGTTGGTCTATACAGATGACGCATTATAGCAGGATTGGGTATCAAGAAGGCCTTCTCTCCGGAGAATAATTCGACGCGGTAACAACAAATATTCAGTCTCCCACTCACTGGCGTTGGGTGATTGCCAATCTCCGCTATATATTTTTAAAACGCATAACGTTAATATTAAGTTAATTTAATTTTAAAAATGATTCATATACTTAAAATGTAACATGGTCACTTTTAACTTTTAAATTATTAGTTTAGTCGAATGTTTAAAATCATTATTTGTTTTATATTTTAACTAAAAGTTGTTTTCTTATAAAAACTTTTAAACATAAAACAATTCTGTTTCAAAAAATGGTTTTCTACTTAAGGTGTAGATAGTGTCCATATTGTGAGAACTGAACGGATAGCCGTGGTTTGTAAGCACGCTGGTAACACGCTGCCATTTACAGCGACAAAGGTGGCTGATTACATCTCACCGCAGTCGCTCTGCTTGTTTGCCTATATAGGGCCATGACAGCGTGTTTTCAGCATTTTTACACACCACGGCTATCCAGTTTTGCATTTTTAGTTTGATTTCAAGATAATTTTTAAGAAAACACCTTTTAGTTATAAACAAAACAAATAATAATTTTACTTACACATTAGACTAAATTAATAAGTTTCTGCTAAAAGTGACTAGGTCACATTTCTGACGTTTACATTCCAAAATACAACCTTTGAATAACTTGATATAAATAACAGGAATTAATTTCTTTAAACGCTTCAGTACATCATACAAATGCAAAACCCAAATGATGCCCGAACGGTGTGACGTCGCTACTGCAAAATATCCCCACTCTCTTTCCAGGCGTTTGAATGCACTCGGCATTGTATACTTTTAGCATGAAAATACGGTATAACCTTCTCGATAGCTGACAAAAGACTAAATCCGATGCGGTTACAAATTTGTATATACTTTAGATATATACGAACAGAGCAAAGACAATGTCGTAAATGGTACTAATTCAAGCCGAGATAACGAAAATTACTCTTTGAACAAACCTGGCCTTAAATAACTGTTTACCTCCATTTTTTACAATTAAAGTTAATGTTATAGTTATCTTATTTTTAGACACGCAACTTCCGGTGTTTTTAAGAAGCCCAGTGTATACCCTATATTCAAACACTTTTGGTGTAAACATTTCTGAAGCCCTTAACGAAGATTTGACGTCATATCCTAGTTTGGCAGATTTTTTTGTTAGGGCTCTTAAAGACGGTGTTAGAACAATTGACAAAGAAAGTTGCATGGTGTCGCCTTGTGACGGAACTGTATTACATTTTGGATTGATTCCTAATGATAAAGTAGAACAGGTAATTAATTTCATAAATAATTAAGTATAAGAATGACTAATTTTTTGTATGTTTTAGGTGAAAGGTATTACATATTCCTTAAAAGAGTTTTTGGGAGAAAACCAAAGCACAAAACCAAAAAATGCGGACTATAAGACATCTTTGTTAAAAAATTATAATGGAACAACATTGTATCAATGTGTTATTTACCTAGCTCCAGGAGACTATCATAGGTTTCATTCGCCAACAGAGTGGACTCCTAATACTAGAAGACATTTTTCTGGGGATTTACTGTCTGTAAACCCTTCAATTGTTAAATGGGTGCCTGGGCTATTTTGTTTGAACGAGAGAGCTGTTTATTTGGGAGAATGGAAACATGGATTTTTTTCCTATACAGCAGTTGGTAAGTAAAATAACTATTCTACAATAAAAGTTCTTAATAAAGTAATGTATTTTTTTATTTAAGGTGCTACTAATGTAGGCACAGTCAAAGTATATTTCGATAAACAACTTCACACAAACATAAAAAGAAAAACCATGCAATTCAAAGATATCTGCTTGGGTAATTCGATTAACTTAAAACGAGGTGATCCAGTAGGCGAGTTTAGAATGGGATCCACCATTGTTTTAATTTTTGAGGCTCCATCAAATTTTAATTTTTCCGTTAACGCCGGACAACACGTTAAAATGGGACAAAGTTTGGGATGCTCGGGGAAAAGGAAATACGTTGATAGTGTAGATAAATCAAGTACAAAAGTAAAAGAAGTTAAGTAAGTCAATTGTTTGCTAATTTGTTGGAGATGCAATAAATAGTAATAACAAAATAATTGTGATATTCATGTTTTAATAAAACTTTTGTCTATTTTATTTTGTTCATATGTTATTTTATTTTTATTTGAACATTGATACTCGTAGTTTAATATTGTACTGTTATAAATAAATAATATATACTTACCATATGAAAATAATAGTATATATCGTGGGCGTACTGCGAAAATCAACTAAGTCCCAAAAATAAGTTTTCAAGAACGGATTTTAATTTTTTGGACTCGGTGAAAAATCCAGTTGAAAATAAAATAAATATGTTTTACATTTTTTCATTTCTTTATGTACTGAGAGAGATCCCACTGGGAAAAATAATATTTCTACAATGTTACTGAACGTTACATTTGTTAGGTGTAATGTTACAAAAATCCTTGTGGCAATGTTGCAGGAACATTGCAACAAAGCCTTATGTTTCAGGAACATTACATTTACAAATTAAATGTTGCTTAAATGTATTAATTGCAATGTTACTAAATGTTATTTTTGTTAATGTAAGGTTCCTGCCACATTACAGGAAGATTGCAATTAAATTAATATTAAATATTATAATAATAATTAATTTTAATTATTTATCCGTAAGCTAGAGGCCTATAATCCGGATATATATATATATAAAAATATATAAATATCAGAAAAAAATAGGTTTTCTACTTTACCCCAGAAGTAGGCAACCAATATTACAAAGACTGAAATGCCTTCCCGTTTCGCCACCGAGCCGAGGAGCTCGAAGCGCGTTTCCGAATGGTATGGTCCATTTACTAATGCACCATACCCACCAACACTGACAGCAGGGCCATATTACCCATTAGGCAGGCAAGGCAATTGCCTTAGGCGCCACGTATAAATAGGCGCCTTGTCCCCAGGCAACTTAAAAAAAAAATAAAAATTGTTACAAAAATGTTTATTTTTTCCAAAAATAAAACAAATAAACAATATACAATTGTAATAACAGAATATTATATTATATTTACTGTTTTTATTATTTTATTAAAATTTAGCTTCCTTTGTAATAACGATGTGTAAAATCCGACAAAAAAGAGTGCCGCAAATTCACTTTTGTTTTTATGCCAAATACATAAATGTATTTCAGATAAAATTAATCAGGTGTTATATCACCATGCTTGATTACGAGGGCACTGCGTTTTGAAGTAGAAAAAATAAAAATAAAAATTGTTACCAAAATGTTTATTTTTTCCAAAATAAAACAAATAAACAATATACAATTGTAATAACAGAATATTATTTACTGTTTTTACTATTTTATAAAAATTTAGCTTCCTTTGTAATAACGATGTGTAAAATCCGACAAAAAAGCGTGCCGCAAATTCACTTTTGTTTTTATGCCAAATACATAAATGTATTTCAGATAAAATTAATCAGGTGTAATATCACCATGCTTGATTACGAGGGCACTAAGTTTTGAAGTAGAATAATATATTTTATTATTAACTGTATAATTAACAAATAATAATAAATATTAACGTTAAACTGCAAACAAAAACTTAAAAGATAATTTAATTTGTAAACTTTACCGTGTATAAACATATCTTTAGCACTCTTTAAACTATTTCAAAACCCCCGTATGCTCCAAGCATACGGATTCCTCTTGCATCGGGTACCCGCTGTGATGTGCTGCTCACCCCAGCGGGTAGGTACGCGATACTAGAGGAAACTGCTGCCGGAAGGACTTGGGTGTTTTCGCGTTTATTCAAGAGTGGCACTTCTATGTGTTGTGTGTTTGGTGATAGCAGTCTGTGTTCGATAGTTAAGGTTGATTTAGCCTGGCTTTTAAATTAAATTACGTTACGTTAGATTACGTTACACAAAATGCTGGGTAAATCCACATTTAGTGTTATTTTTTCTGTTTGTTTTAAGGCATTTCTGAAATTTTAATATTAAACTAATTACAATAAACCAGCAGTACATACATACATACAAATACAAAAAATTAAAGTTTATTTTTTTTTTTTTAAATACTTACTAATGACATCTTGCAGAAAAACGCACTTATAAGTCCTAACACTTTTTATTTACATTGTATCTGTTATGTTTGTATGATATTTATGTTTTTTATGTATTTTTTTAATGATAAAAAGTATTCTAATTCATAGGGAATAATTAGGTTATAATACTCGGGCGCCCTTAAGCTAACAGTTTGGGGTGGCTCTAATAAGCTTTTTTAAAATTTGCCCCGGGCACCTTAAGTATAGTATCTAGTTAGAGGAGCCAAATTTTTAAGTGCCTAAGGCGCTCAATTGCCTTAAGCCGGCTCTGACTGACAGACAGACCTGTTGGGTCTCATCAGTGTCAGGCAGTCGGTGACGGGAGACACGCATCAAGCTCGGCTCTGTTCACTTATAAAGATATAAATGACCAGGACAGCGGCGAGATACATCGGCAAGTCAGTCTGCAAACAACATGGCAAAAATTATCTTAATGCAATATTTCGGATGAAACATTGTCCAAAACTAAAGTTATAATTATAAATGTAATATTATAGTTACAATGTTCCAAAAATCTTGCAAATTAAATGTTTATACTGTTTATATAAAGCAACATTGCAAAAATCATCTTAATGTAATATTTCGGATGAAACATTGCCCAAAACTTATCAATGTAATATTATAATTGCAATGTTCCAAAAATCTTGCAAATTAAATGTTTATATTGTTTATAAAAAGTAACATTGCAAAAATCATCTTAATGCAATATTTCGGATAAAACATTGCCCAAAACTTATCAATGTAATATTATAATTGCAATGTTTCAAAAATATTCCCAAACATTCCAAAATAAATGTTTCTATTGTATATTTAAAGTAAAGTTGCAAACATTTTTCATTTGAAAGTTGTGTTAATATTTAAATTGAAACATTGAAAGAAAGTTATGTCTGCAATATTATAATTGTAATGTTTAAAAACTTTTATGCAATATTTTATGCTATATGTTACAAATATAACATTGTAAAAACTTTACATGTGAATCTTTAAATAATGTTTCAAATTAAAGGTTGTTGGAAATTATTATATGCAATATTTCAAATGTTACATTTCATTTACGTTAATGCAAGTAGCACAGGAAATATTTTATTTGTAAAGTCGGCGAACATTGCAGCAATATTTTGTAAGGTTTCTTTCCCAGTGGGATGTGGGATAGTAAAAAACAATATTTAAAGAAAAAAGTTTAATATGCAAAGAAATAAGAATTACAACTTAAAAAATGCGGACTTAATGGATTTTCGCAGTACGCCCACGATATATACGAGATAATCACATTATTCAAGAGAATGAGGTTTGCATCTGAAGTCGCCAGACGAGAGACTTAAATCATCCGAGTGAATAATACTATACTTTATCCAACACATGACAGTTATGACTGTCATTATTAATATCATTTTAGACAAGTAAACTATCAAACAACGCACTAGTAGTGTAATCCATAACTCACTAGTGAGTTATGGATTATAACTCGCGTTCATATTTAAAGTAGTATTCTATTTATTTATTACTATTACAAGTAGAATTCACCTTGATATTGAAATTAAAGGAAAACGCTAACGGTTTATTCGAATTTGAAGTCATTGTAAAATACGTTGGTTCATTGGAACCAGACGCTCCCATATCGGTACAGCTGCTGATAGTGCTGGAAGACGCCGACGTATTAGAACCTTGTATTTTTTCTGCAATTTGTGAATTCTACTGTGAGTTATGGATTATAACTCACGTTCATATTTAAAGTAGTATTCTATTTATTTATTACTATTACAAGTAGAATTCACCTTGATATTGAAATTAAAGGAAAACGCTAACGGTTTATTCGAATTTGAAGTCATTGTAAAATACGTTGGTTCATTGGAACCAGACGCTCCCATATCGGTACAGCTGCTGATAGTGCTGGAAGACGCCGACGTATTAGAACCTTGTATTTTTTCTGCAATTTGTATTTTGTTATGCATCGATTCTTCTAGGTAGCCCCTGCATTGGCCAAGAGTCGCCGAAGACCTTCTCAGGCAGTGACCGGTGTAGAGCGCTGGTTCCTCCAATTTCAAAAACATTGCAATTCTTGAAGGTATCTTCGACAACGTATTTATTCCCACACACTGGCTGGTACATCTCCCAATTTTTGTAAAAAAACAAAAAAGCGGCTAGTACTAGTATTCTTTGGTCTCAAAGACATGTATTTTTTACACAAATTGATGGGTTGACTGGAAATCCTTCTTCTTCAAGTATGGTGAAACTTAGGAATGTAAGCAAATTCTTATGACAATGTCATGTCACGGTCATAATGAAAATAATGGTCATGTCATTTATTTTTATGACACCCTTGTCATTAATTTTTTTCAATTTAAATTTCAAAAAAATAACTGACCGTCATTAAAATATATGATAGTCACAAAAAAACGTTAGATCGAGGCCCCCCCAAGCCGATCTTTCTTTAAATGCGAAAAAAGTGATGTATTTTAACTTGCCTTAACTTGTAAACACTTAGAGCAAGAACCTTAGCAAAGATAACTCCAATTTAATTGGTATTGGGAAAAGCATCTATTTAAGTATGCATCAAAATCAACTAGGTATAAATTATTATTCTTATCTTTTAATATACATGTGCTAAAAACATTATCACTTAAAATTTTAGTGACTAAATATTATAATGTTATGACTAAATATTATAATGTTATAGTTATAACTATAATATTTGAGGAGATGAAAGCTGTCATGACTTTGAAGTCGAAGACTATAAATCTAACAAAAAAATTTAGTTATAACTGGTTAAAAACCAGTTAGATATCTTTATATTCTACTAGGATATGGTTTTGTTTTGTTTAAAGAGATTTATAAAGAGATTTTTATTTAATTTTATTTCTATTTTTTTTTCAATTAAGTTTATGTCTATTTATGTCTATGTCTTAATGTTTTAGTCAATTGTCACTTGTCTGAAGCTTCTATATC